GATCAGGCTAATTCCTTATGTTGGTCACATTCCAAACGCGAGCCTCCTTGTGAAGATGGGAACAATAACGGAGCGGCTCCAGTCGGTTGGGGCAGTCTCCTGCTCCCACAGTTTCACTAGTAATTCATGTAAAGCATCAACAAGAGCGGAGCCACCGAATTTGAAGAGGGCTGGATGAAGATCATCTGGTCCCGCGTCTTTGTTCAACTTCAACTGTCCGATCTTACGCTCGACTTCTGAGCAAGTGAGTGGATCCAAAGGGACAGCCCACGGAGCAGGGTGATCACTGGCCGGCGAAGAATCGTGCAACTCCAGCGGAATAAGTTGCTTTTCAAAATGCTCGGCCCAACGCTCCACACTTTTTGACAAATTGGGGCTAGGCTATCCACGCTCCTCACGTATAGTTTTAATAACACCAGGTCTCCCGCTGCCCGTTTCCCGCATCAGACGGAATAAGTTGCGATGGTTACCATGGGCAGCGGCCACTTCCATCTCTGACAAACGATGAGGCCACCAAGATTCGCGGTCTCCTTTTAGGCTAACACGGAGTCTTGCCCGAAGCTCTTTGCGAGTTTCATTTGTTCGCTTCCAGCCGGGATATGTCGGCGAGCGTCGACGAGCTCCAGAGACCTCGAAGAGACCAAATATCCATGTTGGCAATTGGACATACCACTTGAGGATTTGCCTGCTGCTGGTAAGCTCTGGTGAACATGTGACCAGTGGCCATCAAATGTCTTCAGTGAGCGCTTACTCAGCTCGCATGTCAGCGTACTTCGATACGCATTTAGTAAAGCTGGCTTTGTCAGCTTGTTGGTGTCAATGCGCTCACGGTGTCGTCGTGGGCGTCCGCCAAAGCGCATCCGCAGGTCAGCATATACAAGTGCATGATCGGTGTCCACAAGTGTGCTCCAAAGCGAGCGACAGTTCAGGATGCAGCCTCTCTATCGGTAACTGATAGCACTGTGATCGATCTGCGTCCAAGTCTGGCAGGCGCCAAGTCACTCTCCGGCGGGTGCTGTGTCGGAAGTTAGTGTTGGCGAGAAGTAAGCGGGCCTTTCCACACAAATGAAGCAACCGCTCACCGTTATCATTACAGGGGCCTACACTGTGCTGACCGCGCAGATGCATTTCGGTGGTGGAAAACTTTCCCACTTGCGCGTTCAGATCCCCAGCCAGCGCAACAGTGTCCGTGGTTCTTCTGTGGCGAAGGAGCTATGTCAGTTGTCGGTAGAAGTGGTTCTTTACCGAATCATCGCTACAGATTTTGGGTGCGTAGGCCGCGATAATGAATATACACCAATTAATAACGCGCGAATTCAAAGCATTGCAGGAGCCAGCCAATCGCACCGCCCACATCCGGTTACTGATTGGAGTCCAATCAACCAAAGCAGCCTCGGCCCCGGGGACTCAAGACAATACCAACACCAGCTTGGCGGGTGCGCGAAGCTGCGTCGTCACCGTATAGGCGCAATAAGAAACTACTGCTCGAGTCACTTGGAAGGGATCGCAGAGTGAGAACAGAGCTCGCGTGTTTCAGGCGGGTCTCCGGTAAGCAACAGATATCGATCGAGAGGTCCTCTTATGTTCGTGCAAGTGCTGCCTGTCGGCCTATCAGTAGTAGTGTGCGTACATTTATGCAGGCCAATCTGAAGGAGGATCGAGGGCCCCAACTGGGAGCCGATGAAGTGGATGGATTGCTTGGTTGGACATGGGCTTGTCGACAGGAAAGCAGTGACGCTGCGCTTTAGCATATGAGTTGAAATTAAAAGATACTGGCCTAGCTAAGCACGTTGTGGGGCCAAGAATCAGGGGGTTAGAAACTGGGGGAGAAAAGTAAAGTTGAAACAGGACCATAAGGGAGAAAAAACATAAGAGGGAGATCAAGAAGACAGGAAGGATTGAGCAGTAATATTCAAACCCCTATCCACCCTGCTCCATGCAGCAGATGGGGCACCGTTGATTATCTCCTGCGGTGGCCCGAGCATCAAGAAATTGTTTGACGAATAATTCATAGTATTGCGTCGGCAGGATACTGCTGCCCAGGTCTAGATAGGAGAACGATTAGGGTTCCCAACCGAAAGTTTGGGTGCACAAACCTTACTGCATTGCAGCGGGTTTGGCGTTGGGCTACAAGGAGTGCCTTTTGATGAATAAGGTGCCACCTTCATTCCAACCCCCAACCTGGAGGACCAGGTGGCTGAGTTTGTCTGGCCTCTAACCAATGACCAATCTGGTATAAGTGATCCTGATGGTGCAAAAGCACCACCCAGCATAGCTCAATGGAGGTCTGAGGCACACAAACCATCGCAACACGGTAAGGTCTAGCCTCATTGCGATGGCACAGTGCACGCACATTGCTACAGATCGATCCACAGGCTGCACTTGCCCGAAGTTCAAAGACCCCAAATGTGCAGTAAGTGCCCAGACAGAGGAAGGTTAGAAAGAACGATTGGACAAGTACGTGCTGAGCATTCCTGGATTCCGCTCGTTTTTCCGCATCTGTAATAATCCTTCAGGGGACAAACTTAAGCAACGACGCGTCATCCAGCCAACGTAAGGGAGGTGATGAAGCGGACACAGGTTTTCCCTTTCGCTCTCTACAACTCTACAAACTCCACCGATATCATTTGCTTATCGGAGATCCGCGTGCAATACTCTAGCTCTGTGCTCACTTAGCCATTTTCTTCAGTTGACACCGGCAGCACGTTCTCATTGCGCTTGTCCGGTGACGATACAGCGTTGAGCAGCGGTTAAGCCGGTGCTGGTATTGCCCAGAGTCCCCTGAGTCCATCCGTTGCCGGTAGCTCAGCTTGCTTGTTCTTGTTGCATTTTATTCCTTTTTCTTTTAGGTATTGCGCCCCAGTAGCTGAGGTGTTTCACACCTCTAGCTTACGTTTCTAGTGATGATAATGGTGGTGTGACCGCACCTTCGACGGTCGCGCAGGTGGCGTTGCTCTGTATGTCAACTTAGCCTTTACTGTCTTGACGACGTATACTTTGCGCATTCGCAGATCTTTTTTATATTTCTTCTGTGCAACTGCAAGTTCTGTTGGTCGATAGAATCCCGATAGGTTTCAGGGTGCTCTAGTTGATATCCTCCGTAAACAAGCGGCGAATAGGTGTTTAGTGATGATGAAATATATTCGACTTCACCTGAACTGCCAGAATTTCTCCTGCGATGCTATTTCAATTTGTTTTGCTAATGATTCCTCTATCTAGGATTGCGTGCTCACCTGCATCCGTTCGTCGAGTTGCCTACTAGTTTATTGATGTGACAAAACCCGTCCCTTTTGGTCCTTTGCTAATAAATGCTCTGACTTCGTCATGGAGGTGGTATACAACGTAGTAGTCAAAGTACCGGAAGCTATTGTTCGCTTACCTGCGAATGAAACCGGACGCTCGTTAGGCCGTGGCCTGTATCATCCTTGGAACCTGCCCTGACCTCTCGTTGCTAACGACCACGCTCGTCAGTAGCTTAAGTGCGCGTATGGCGAATAAGCGTCTTCACGGGGTCCATACATATGGCTCCCCAAGCAGGGAGCTTAGTCTACCCGAGGCCAAATTAGAAGTACCGGCATACATGCTTACAGTTTGTGGGGTGTAGGCACTGGTGACAAGCTGGCGCCTAATAGCCACGCGCGACTTCAAACCTTTGAACTAGTCTGCCAGTCGGACTGTACTCATCCGCCGACGGATTGGGATGCAACGCTGGCTGCCAAATGGTATCCACCTACAATGATCTATTTCGTATGTCGTCCGTTTCACTGCAGGTAAGTGCAACGCATATACACACCTGGCTTTACGACCGGCAGTTATTTATGCGCCGCCCGGATTCCTTGTTTGTTGGTGCCATCCTGTCTCGGAGTGCATGATGCCCATCTTTTCACGGGATAAAAACCATTTCTCAGTGTTCAAGCTTTGTGTGTTACGAGCGATTTACACGCTCACCCGCAAGGTCGGGAACATTTGTGAGCGGTTTGAACGTCAAAACACCTTACTGCATCGTGCCCATCGCAATGAGGCCGGACCTTACCGTGGTGCGAGGGTTAGTGTGCCTCAGTGATCCATTGAGCTATACTGGGTGGTGCTTTTGCACCTTCAGAGCCACTCATACCAGATTGGTCAATGGTTAGAGGCCAGACAAACTCAGCCTCCTGGTCCTCCAGGTTAGTGGGTTGGCATGAGGGTGGCTCCTTATTCCTTAAAACGGACTCCTTGTAGCCCAATGCCAAACCCGCTGCCTTGCGGACAGGTTTTTGAACCAAAGGCTTTGGTTGAGAACCCTAATCGTTTTCCTGTCTAGGCCTGGGCAACCTGACAGTATCCTGCCCACGTAATACTACGAATCTCACTTCAAACTAATTTCTGATGCTCTGGCCACCGCAGAGGATAATTAACGGTGCCCTATCTGCTGCATCGAGCAGGGTGGATAGGGGTTTGGATGCTACTTCTCAAGACTTCCCATCTTCTTATTCCCCTTCTTGCGCTTTTTCACCCTTATCGTCCCGTTCCAGCTTCGCTTTATCCCCCCTGTTTTCAACCCCCCAATTCTCGGCTTTCCCCCACCTTGCTTCAATAGTCGCTTGTCTTTTAGTTTCAACTCACATGTGAACGCGGAGCGTCATTTCTGCCCTGTCAACAGGCCCAGGTCCAACCAAGCGGTCCATTCCAATTCATCGGCTTCCATATGGAGCCCTCGATCCTCCTTCAGACTGGCATGCCTCACTGTTCGCACATTGCTTCAGATCGGTCAACAGGCAGCACTTGCCCGAACATTGGATACCCTCTCGATCGACATCTGCTGCTTATCGGAGACCCGCCTGCAAGACTCGAGCTTTGTACTCACTCTGCGATCCCCTTCAGGTGACACTAGCAGCACTTTCTCATTGCGCCTCTTCGGTGACGATGCAGCTTCGAGCACCGGCCAAGCCGGTGTTGGTATTGCCCTGAGTCCCCGGGCTGAAGCTGCTCTGGTTGATTGGATTCCAATCAGTAGCCGGATGTGTGCGGTCCGATTGGCTGGCTCGTTCAAATCTTCGAAGTCGCGTGGGACTAACAGGTGTCTATTCGTTATCGCTGCCTATGCACCGACAAACTGTAGCGATGACTCGGTAAAGGACGACTTCTATCGCCAACTGAACGAACTGCCTCGCCACAGAAGAAGCTCGGACACTGTAGTGCTGTCCAGGGATCTGAACGCTCAAGTTGGAAAATTATCCACAGATGGGCTGCATCTGGACGGCCAACATGGTATAGGCTCCCGCACTGATAACGGTGAGCGGTTACTTCATTTGTGTGAGGATGCTTGCTTATAACTTGCGAGCACTAATTTCCGAAACAGCACCCGCCGGAGGGTGACTTGTCGCCCACCAGCCTCGAACCAGCTATGGACGCAAATCGATCACGTTGCTATCAGTTACCGCTGGAGAGGCTGCGTCCAGAACTGCCGCTTGATTTGGAGCACAGGTGGGGACACCGATCGTGCACTTGTTTGTGCTGACCTGCGGATGCGCTTTGGCAGACGCCCGCGACGATGTTGTAAGTGCATTGACACCGGCAGACTGGTGAAGCCAGCTGTTCTGAAAGCCTATCAAATTACGCTGTCATCCGAGTTGGATAAACGCTCAATGGATGCAATTGAAGCTCACTGGTCTCATATGCAACAGGCTTTACTAGCAGCAGGCAGATCCTCATGTGGTATGTCTAATCGTCAACATGAACATTCGGTCTCTTCACAGTCTCTGGAACTTATCGATGCTCGCCGGCATATTCCGACTGAAAGCGAACACAAGGAAACTCGCAAAGAGCTCCGGGCAAAAAATCCGTGCTAGCCTGAAGAGAGACCGCGAATCCTGGTGGTCTCGTCGTGCAACAGAGATGGAAATGGTCGCTGCCCTTTGTAACCATCGTGAGTTATTCCGGCTTAAAGGGGAAGCGGGCAACAGGAGACCTGGTGTTATTGAAGCTATACGTGACGAGCGTGGACAGCCTATCCACAACCTATCAAAACGCCTGGAACGTTGGGCATAGCACTTTGAATGTCAATTTAATTGGTCGGAATTGTTAGATTTCTCGCCGACCACTGATCGCCCCTCTCCGTGGGCTGTTCCTTTGGATCCGCCCTCTCGCTCAGAAGCCGAACATGAGATCGGACCGTTGAAGTTGAACAAAGCCGCGGGACCTGATGACCTTCCTCCAGCCCTCTTCAAATTCGGGGGACCTGCTCTTGTGGATGGTTTACACGAGTTACTAGTGAGACTGTGGGAGCAGGAGACTGTCCCAACCGATTGGAGCCGCTCCGTCATAGTCACAATTTTCAAGGGAGCCTCACGATCGGAATGCGGCAGCCATAGAGGAATCAGTCTGATCTCCATCGCCTCCAAATTGCTTGCCTCTGTCATCCTTCGCAGACTGACTGGCACTCGTGAAATCCAGATTCGCCAAGAGCAAGCTGGATTTCGTCGAGGTCGTGGCTGCATTGACCACATCTTCACTTTGCGTCAGTTGTTGGAGCACCGTCACATATATTGGCGGCCCACCGTTGTCGTGTTCTTCGATATCAAATGTGCATTCGATTCGGTGGAAAGACATGCACTTTGGGGCTGTCTACTCAGGAAAGGTGTACCTGAGAAATATGTGAATATTATCCGAGCATTATATGCGCGTAGCTCGGGCAGAGTGAGGGCTTACGGCAAGTTGTCTTCGCCCTTTAATATCTCCAGCGGCGTGAGACAAGGATTCCCGCTGTCACCTTTCCTCTTCAACTTCGCTATTGACGAAGTCATAGAAATCGCGTTTACAGGACACGACTTAGAAGGTGTGGATCTGCTCCCAGGAGAATGACTTCTTGATTTAGAGTATGCTGATGATATTTCCCTGATCTGTGACAGCTCACAAACGTGCCAAGCGGCACTGGACAGATTAGCACTAGCTGTCCGTCACTTCGGGCTTTGCTTCGCACCCTCGAAGTGCAAAGCGTTTCTCCAAGATTGGTCTGGACCGCCTCCTACGCTGACCCTTGGTGGGGATCAGCTGGAAGTCGTTCAAAAATTCAACTACCTGGGAAGTTGTATCAGCGCTAGTGGGATTGAAGATGAAATCACCAACCGTATAGCAAAAGCCCGGGGCGCTTTTGCTAACCTTCGCCACTTATGGCGCCGGCGCGACATCACTCTCACCCTGAAGGGTAGAGTGTACAATGCAGCAGTACGTTCGACCCTACTGTACGGTTGTGAAACCTGGCCGCTTAAAGCAGCGACCCGAAGAGGCTAGTTACGTTCGACCACCGGTGCCTTCGTAATTTAGCTCACATTTGGTGGGAGCACCGCGTGAGCAATGAGCGTGTTCGACGCCTTGTTTATGGCACAGGAAAAGGAAATGAACCGCTCAGCACCGTTATTTCACGCATCAGGCTCCGATGGCTCGGCCACGTGTTACGCATGCCGGCCCACCGACTCCCGCGACGTGTATTGTTTGCGGGCCGGGGGTGTGGATTGAAGAAGAGGAGGGGTAGCCAAGCGATGACTTGGTCCAGAGGAATGAAGACCCTCACTTCTGAGCTGGCCTCGGTTGGAACGTCTCGGCTCCCTGGTTCGGGTCCAAAGGACGATGAACACGTTTGGTTGGACACACTTGCTGATATGGCAAGGAGCCGACCTCAGTGGCGTTCGTGCTGTGAGTTTCTTTGTCCCACCCCATCCCTTTTAGCCTCCCCTCCAACCACGATCTCATTATTTAGCCTTATATAATATTGCATAATATTTTTTTCTTTTTGGGTGCACAGCAGCCCGCTGGTAGCTTACCGGAACGATGCCCATCCGTTACCGGTAGCTCAGCCAGCTTGCACCAGCCGCTATTTTCCCTTTTTTTCTATGTATTGCGGCACAGTAGCTGAGGTGTTCCCCACCTCTAGCTAACGTATATGATGATGATGATGATGATGACTGCAACGTGCTCCTGTACTTTGATTAGCTAATTCCGTCAAACCTTGCTTATCACGTGACACTTTACTATGTCTTTCTGATACCCCTGTAGTTGACGCACATTGGTGTCCACCATCATCTTGCATACACCATTGCGGTAATCCCGCCTCACCTTTATGCGATCCAAGTCTATTGATTTTAACTACATCCTCCGTCTGTCTGCATACTAGCGGATAGCAGCAATGAGGTGTGGCAGAAGTGGACACCACCTCACTTCGGAAAGCAACTGCAGGTGAGATTGTCTGCTCAGAAGGTCCACACTTGCGGTCTATTTTTCTTCTATGTTGCACCCGTCCAAACGCACCCTAAGCATAGGTTCGCAGGTAGCACGGCCATACTAGTTGCTCATGTGTTTGTCACCGAATCCAACGGCATTTTTGTTTCCAGATAATCATTTTATGCATATATATTGTGAATGCTGCACGCTGACTGCCGGGATGTGCACAACCACGGTACCAATTGAATCTGGAAGTCAACCTTGCGTTACCTCGATGCATATTTGTTTCCTGTGTGTTTGTGGCACAATTTACAATACACCTTTCCTTAGTGCTTGCGCGTCATGGGTCAAGAGCGCAGAACACGCTCCCCATCATGACGTGAATATTTGGAATAGGTACAAACGTCTACCTTGAATTTCATGGCGTGTTCCTTTTTCATTATCATGGTGCATGGATTAGGCCATATTTCAATGTTTATGCAGCGATAGGGATGTCAAACATTTGTATTTCATGTCGCGAAAAATAAACTTAAGTTTGAGCCGTGTAAACCTTGTACCATTGACATCGATAAACCCCTTCCATACATGCTTACATAGGCACGGTAAACAACGTTCATGGAGGAGTGTGAAGTTTGAAGTATGTTTTGTTAGTAGCGGTACTGATGACACCGCTATGCCGCCAACACGGGCTTAATAAACGCTGTTCGCGAACGTCTGTGGAGCCAACAATATCCGCTAAGCTAATCGTTATAATGAAACAGATACTATGGGACAAATAAAGAATAACTACGAATACGTCTTGAAGGCATGTGGAGCCAATATTTGTAGCTTACCTCGTAGTTATATTGATGTCAGTGTCTTGGGACGTATATAAATAAACAAATAACTAAATAAATATTTATTCCTGGCTATGCGTGGCATGCCCGCGAGGGTCTGCTCAAATAAGTGCCATTATACAGACATTTCATGGCAATCGTGACAGTGACAATCGGAGGGTGTTCATATGTTCCTATTTAAAACTGTACAAATAGGACAGAAATAAAAGTGAAGAAAGCCCATTGCCATGAGTTTCAGCACATTGGTGTGGGCGCATCCGTCCTGCCACAAAGTGCAGTAACAATTCGGGCATTAATAGATCAAGAACTAGGACTGCTTAGTTATAAAAGAGCTGGTGAAGAGCACGCTCAATCGCGATTGCACGATACGCTGGGTTCATGTGAGTGTAGCGCAAAGAACAATGGTGAATGCGCAGAAAACCACGTGGCGACAAAATATGCAGATAAGAAAGTATCGGGGCGGATCCATCATGGTAGTATATAGGCATGGTCGGCTTGTCAGTATGAGCTTACATGGACTAAGTAACCACCGTTCATGGAGGATCGTAGAGCTACCGGCAATATTGATGTACCTCTGTTGCACATATATAGGCTTACGCTAGTGAAGCCAACATGAATTTGCGAGCATGCCGCCCCTATTACGGGACCTATAATACTTCTCCGTGCACTGGTCATGCAGGCGAGGCAACCAAGGGAGTCTCCTTGGGTGTTCACAGTAATGCCACATCTGTGGCAGTTATATAGCTTTACTAAGCACCCATCACGTTGGAATGAATATCCAACCATATAGCATCATGTCTCCCGCTACTGGTAACATGTCGCGTCCCTGTACTTCATTCATCAGTGCTCCATTAAACGACCACCTGAGCAAATGTTAGTGTGCAGGGAACTGACACGTTTAATTCGAAGTACCTGGTCTACTGCGCCTTTTGCTCACCTTGCCGGCATGCTACACGCTATTATTTGTCTACCGCATTGCAGTGCCACCCATGTTTACTGGTGAGTGGCGCTGCTCCAATCAATTACTTTTCAGATTAACGATGCTCGCCCATGCTTCAGCAGTTTATAGCCTGTTCCGCATATAGCGTACCCTGTACTCAAGTATCACAACTGCCAGCGACCACGTTCGCATGCCTCTAGTTAGTCCGCGCTGTTAACTGCCCTCGCTTTCCAATTACTTCGTGAACGACCCGAAAGCCCTTTTAAGTGTCACCTTATGTCCTATATCCTTGTGGTGCATTCTTACAAGCCACAGTGTCCACTCATATGCATGCGCGCGCCTCACCACTCGGCCGCTAGTTAAGTGAATTCGTTCGTATTCGTAGACCACATTCACAAACGCTCTATTACACTTCCGGTTCTTCAGCATAGCCATTCTATGCCGTGACCGAAAACCACCAAACATTATTCAGTATTGTGGATTGGCGGGTTATAAGCACTTTTAGCACTCCGAACTCAGACGACAGTAGTCGCATGTGGTTCGAATGGCTGTTCTCACACCAAATAAAAACAGTTCCAATAATCCATAAGTCTCGATTTGCAGTGGACGTCGTCAGTCATATGCAACCCTTCCAGTTCCATTACATTCCTCCTCGCCAAAGCGAAATTAATAAATGCGCGCCTGGTCTCTTCGGTAAGTTACCCGTTGTGTTGCAAGCGCTTCATTTTCCCATAATAAGAATTCACCACACTGCGTTCATGCGTGTACTAATACGCCAAGCAGTGCTAAATGGATCATAAGCTCTGTTAAAAAATGAGTGTACATTATCCTACCAATTATTACACATCAAGTGATTCCGTGTTCTTCCATTGTGGCACCGTGATCAGATTTCCGCTTACCTAATATAGATGTTTACTTACCTAATTAGCTTTTGAATAAGGGTCAGTGCAGGTTGTCCACCCGAAGTCAGTACACATGGGTACATCGCAGTTGGCAAGTGCGTGTGGCAATAATTACGCCGATGGCTTATTATTGTGCTGCATGATGATTACCAGTGGTGAAATTCAACGAAAGAGAAATGCCTCCTACATAGGGAATGCCCGCCGTTACCGATCAACGAATGTGTTACCACATTTCCCAATTTACGTCACCTTCGCAAACACCCATATATTGCATTATTAAAAAATATATCTAACTATATGGACATGTGTTAGCATTATATATATACATATATATATCAGGTGGTGGTTTTGCAATTTTGTCCTAATGCTTTTCTTTCTCATTTAAATGGCTACCAGTAGTCTCTCCTATAAACTTACACACATCGCATAAGCCAATAGTAGTTAATTTGGATAGTATTTACATTTTGGTAGCAGTTCCGTAAAATATACATACTGACCTCGGGAGCTTATTGCGGATTCCTTCGCAATCATTTTTATACTCTCATTTGGTAATCAGAAATGTCTCAATAACTGTATGCATTATCATTTTTATTTAATTAGATCTCATCATTTCAAGTGCTTGTCTTTTGCTTGATATCCCCGGTGTGGCTGAACTTCATGTTCATGTTGACAAGGTGCCTACTTGTCTGTTAACCGCCACCCCGTCCACACTGGCTCCAGGAGACAGTTGGACGTTGCTGGAGGGAACGAAGTGCACGGTCCTTGTGGCCGTGTTAGGATCAAAGGGTGGTTACATACACTCAGTTTGCAGCGGACTACGCTTAAGCCACCGCCTTGTGGGCAATTATTTCTCAAATACAGCGTGCTTGTGTTTGCCTGTAAAGGAGTGTGGGCCGGCTCCTTTGATGAAACTTGGCTCCCCTCCACATGCCTCCCGGTCTTATTCCTTCGGGTTTACACTGGATA